AGATAGTAGAATCTATATGTGATGTTAAACAAGAAAACAAGGTTGAATTTTTAAGAAAATATTACGTGAAAACATTCAATCCTGACTCACATCTTTCAATTGAAGAAATTACGAATATTCAAAAATTTATTGCAGAATCATTTTCGGAAAATCATCTTGAAGAACATTTTCGAGCGTATACGACAGCGATAATCCAATATAATCTAAGATTTCCATTATAAATATGTTACAAAATTAATTTATATGTTTTGTTTATATAAGATTTATTTATTAAGAATATACAAGTTTATTAAGAAATATATATTCAATATGAAATAAGATTTTAATTTATTATTAATAAATTCCATGTTTATAAAAATATAAATATCCAATAATTTTATTAATTTTTTAATTTCTCTAATATACCATAACTTGTTTAAATATTACTTCTTTTACACACTGTATAATGAAAAAACCAAAATGATAACAATCAGTTGTGGTGAAAATACCAAAAAACAAATTTTATTCCAAGACGAAAAACATCTTTTGAATAATATTTTAAAAGAAATAGTTAGCAACTTTAAAAAAGAATTTGAAAAAGAAGAAATTGAAGAAATTATCAAAGAAAATAAACCTCTTTTAAATGAAATTAGAAATAGTATTTTTAACATAGAATACAAAAATGATTTTTATGAAAAATTAGACGAGATATTCAATGCTAATGTAATTAATTAAACAAATCATTAATTCTAGTTTTTAACATATCCTCATATGTTTTGGCTTCATCAAATATGATTTTAATTGTATTTTTTTTTAACAAATTTGATAATTCTTCATATAGACTGTTTTGTATACTATTATTTTTTTTATTAAAATTTTCAAACTTACTAGTATTCCATAAGGAACAGATATTCTTGTTACTGGTAAAAATACTTAACGGTTTGTCAAAAATACTAAAAATTTTAATTGCTTCGATCAAAGCATAAATCTGTGATTCTTGAATAGAATAATCTTCATTCACAAATTTGAAAATACTTTTGTCTGGATATAAAGGACAATAAATTCCTATTCCAAATATCTCGTCTTTTTTTTTAATTTTTGTAAATATGCAAATATCTTCATTATTTGTCAAATCATCTAAATAAAGAAATGAGGCATCACATTTTATGTGCCGGTTCCCATATGTAAGAGTTAATATTTATCATTAGCAATAATAAATATTGAATAATAAAATCACTCTTACCACATATTACGAGATTCTTTCATGAAAAACATTTTTTTCTTTCCTTCAGTTTAACATTGGTGGTACTGGTAAGGATTTCTGTTAAAGCAATACCGTTCTCATTTACCACAATCTCATTCTTGAAATACCACTTGTGTCTTTTGATCAAATTTAAATCATCTTCATCAATGGTAATATAATAATTCGTCAGTTTATCATGTTTATCAAATAATGCGATTTGATAGAGTTGGGTAATACAACCAAAATGACTATTTCTTATAGGTCTTCCAGGATTGGTGTTGGAATCGTTGTTATACCAAACTCCACTCATCTTATATCTCTAAATGAAATTAAACTTGTTATAAATATCTTTTTGAATTATTAATTAATAACAAATAATTAAATATATTCATTAAACTAGACCAACAAATCCAAAAATTGGGAAAAACGTCAATACAAAGCATGGGAGCGACAGTGACCAAATGCTGCGTATATGATGGCGTTTTCTAATTTTTAAAGCAGTCCACTGCTAAAGAAATAGGTAGAGCATGAAAGTGTCCAGTTTCCTATTTTAAACAGCATTTAATACAATGTATTAAACATCGTTTAAATCTAAAATAACAAAATTTCTTAATAATACACAAGTATTGAATTAATAAAAGTATTTATAATTATTATAGTATAAATAAGGAATCTTTTAAATTTTTCTCAATGGGACAAAATGATTCAAATTTTAATAATTTCAGTTATTTTAACATTTTTATATAAATTCTATAACATTTTTTCATTATATCTTTTTTATAAGAAACAAGGAATTGAATTTTTGATATTTGGCAATATAAAAAATCATATATGTAAAAATCATGATTTTATTGCAGTTTTATCAGGATTATCAATTCAACTTTATGGGATGAATAAGAAATCTTGCGAAATAATAAATAGACAATATGGAATTAATATAGAAAGAAAAATTTTCTCACCATTTATCTTATTTGGATTTAATTCTATTTCTTCTACAACATCTTCCAATCCATATTTTAAATTACGTAAAAAAATATTAATATCTTCGATTAATAATAATATTGAAAGATTATATCAAATTTCTCATCAAGAAGTTACTAGTTTAATTACAAAATATAAATTAAAATCAAATTTAAATATATTGGAATTATTAAATGAATATGTTGAGAATGTTACTAGTGAATTTATGTGGGGTTATAGTATTATATCAAAATATTATATTGATTTTTTAGATAAAGATTATAAATTGAAAAACTTATCTATTATACAGGCTTTAAATCAGGCATTTCATGATGTTTACACATATAAAAATAGCGATTTATTATATATACTGTCACAGGCAGAATAAATCGGGACCACCTAAAACATGACTCAAACGACGATCGGATCTCGGATCGGTGAATGATCTGCGATTATGGTGCAACAACGATGCCTCGGGCTTTGGCATTTAAGATTAACCTAAAATTGGGTGAAACCCGCATATCTGGGTTCCATACGATCGTATGACAGGCGTACTACTAAAATACAGCAGATAAAGAATGTTTCATAGTGGCAGGTTGGTGTTAAATAGAAGATGGATTAGTAAAATAAAAGTAGATAAAAAAAAAATAAAATAAAATAGAAGAACAAAGAACCAGACTATCCAAATTAAGTGAAACCTGTAGAATCGTATAATTGAGTAAATGATAATGGCGGGAGAAAAGGTTGGGATAGTTAAAAATAGAAAGCGAAGAACATAGACTTACCAAATCCACTGAAACTCTAAAATCGAATGATCGAATTTACGAATGTGGTGGGAAAAGATCTAGGAAAAAAGAGGAAAGATTAAAATTAGCTTTAGAAAATAAAATTGTATAAAAGAGAAAGGAAAAAAAATAAATAAAGAACTCATCTTTCATGCGCCTGAAATAATAAAAAGAAAAGTAAGGGCAAAGATCAAATGTTATTAACTTCGTTTTATAAATAAAATACAAAAATAGTTTGATACTCACCAAATCGTATTTACGCCTCTATTTAAGCCTTGAAATTAACGTAGCGTGAGAATTCTGGTCTTCTAGCGACAGACTCGCCGTTTTCACCTTAACAATACCAATAACAAAAGAATCACAACAAATTTTAAATAATATTACACAAATACGAAGGAGATTTAAAGAAATGATGCGAGATTTGATTGATAATTTCTGTGAAAAAAATTTAATTAAAGATATGGTTGATAAAAATCTTCAACTGAATATTTCATTAGAAAAATTATATGATGATCTTATTATAACAACATTATCAGGATTAAATATAGTTAAATTAACGATTATGTCAATTATTTGGCAGTTATACGAGAAGAAGATAGAAAATGGCGCAATATACTTTATGATGAAGTTAAAATTTTAAATGAAGATGGCTTTGATTATACAAAATTAGCAAGTCTTTCAAATTTTAATGCGTTTATATCTGAGGTGATATGGTATGAATCATCATTTTCATTTTTAAATAATTACACAATTAAAGATTTTGAAATGGTTATCGGTAAAAAAGTTTACAAATTTAAAAAAGGAACTTATATAATGTCAAATATTTATGCGATTTATCATGAAAAAGATTCTTTGTTAAAATTCAATCCTTCTAGATTTTTAAATAAGAATGATTTGTGTTTCATACCTTTTGGTAACGGTGGGCGTAGCTGTCCAGGAAAACCAATTGGTTTACTTATGGTAAAAATTTTTGTGGCTAATTTTTTGATTAATAATTTAGAATACAAGATTTTAATAAAAGATAAAGATAATCCAAATTTTGGATTATGAAGTACTTTTAGCTTTGATATTTATTCTAAAATTTAATAATTTATATTTTTTATTAATTTTATTTTAATTATTTATATAATATAAATATTTTAATTTTTTTTAAACCAATTATTACAATCTAAATATAAATCTAATGTGTGTTCTTCAAATCTAATATTGTTAAACACAAATAAATATTTATTACAATCTTTTAAACATTTATCATTGAAACATTTAAAATTATCAGGATTTAAATATTTAATAAAACGATCAACAAAAGTAAATTTTTTACATTTCATACATGTTTGTTTTAACCAAGAATTGGTAATTTTTTCTAAATTTACGAGATAAAAAATTCCTTTGAATACATTTTTTTGATATTCTGGTAGCTTTATGTAATATGTCCCATCTTTAAATTCATCTTCATTTTTTTTAATTTTTTTAATATAATGTTTTGGTTCTCCTTTTTCTTTATTCAATTTAAAATCAAAAGAAATCCAAATATTATTATTTTTTATTCTGATTTTATAATGAATAAATTGAATCGGGTTGTTTTTAATGTAAGAATCGATTTTTTTTATTAAATGGTATTTGATTTTAGATAGATATTCAATACAGGTATTGTTCCAATGTCGATATACAAGTCTTATTTGCATATACATAATATGATCAAACAGGGTTACCCCATCTGGAAAAATAATTTAATTAATAATTCGATTGGGAGATGGTTCGGATTCATTTTAAAAATTAGATTTTTTATAAAAAATTTGGTATTTTTTATAGGAAATGATCTAGTTACAAATTTTAGAATTTAAGAAATTATATTATACTACTAAATACAAATTAGAATATAATATATTATTAATTAGATAATATAAAAATACATGCTGATATTATTTGGTTAATGCAATCTATAGAGCCTGTTTACTGTAACAAGTGTAAAATTCTTAGTAATCACGAGACTATTTTCTGCCAAAAAACTCAATGTTATCACTGTAAACAGTTTGGTCATATCAATGTATTTTGTCTAAATTTACCTTGTTATCTTTGCTGTATGTATGGTCATACACAAAAAACTTGTTTTGAAAACAAATTTAAACCTAAAAAACTTAAATGTAAAGTTTGTAATAGATATACTGATAAGGAATTTTGTAATGATATTCACATGGTTGCTTTTCTTGCGCATAAAAAGGATTTTCAATTTATGTGGAATTATGTAAAGTGTTTATCCAATGTTGGAATAAATTTTTCTGCTGTTTTAAGAACGATTTACAAAATTAAAGAAATGTATTATTTTAATGTTTCGTTCGAGAAATTACAAAAAAAACAAGA